CCCCAAAACCCCAAAACCCCAAAACCCCAAAACCCCAAAACCCCATGCTGATATTAAAAAGTTGAAATAACATCCTTGCTCTTTTGAATATTATAAAATTTAAACGAATCAGAGCAAAAAAATGGAACGTAAGACAAGTTTTGTACTTCTCTTCTCAACACAGCAAATATGAATTGCTTTCTTTGTTCCCCTAAAGCTAAGCTAGATGTACCTATATCTTGAAGTCCATATATTCTCGATTTATCATTTGAATCTCTAGGTAACTTAAACGTGATCGAGTCACAAGACGAACAGAAATGAGACAGCCACCGAAGCAGTAATGGAGGTTTAAAACTTCCTGATATTCGAGAAATAAGTAGGTATTCTGTCAATTCGTCTTATTAAAATAGGAAGAAAGTCAGCAAACCCATTCTTTATGCCCTCATCAAATGATATTTTAGCTCACAATGAGGTAAAAGAGAAGGGCAAAGACACTAATTTCTTGGTTGCTCAAAATTTAGATTCAGGACGTAAGTTCTATTCATAAGTATCTATAGCATTGTTTAATGATGGGGATAAGAAATACAGAAAATCCTTCAATGTCAATCAGGCAGATTATAAACTTGAGAAGAATGAGCCCGAGAAAGAAAATGAAGACGAAGTCTTTGCTCAACCTAAGAAGAGGATAAAGGATATGTAAGTTTCTTCATGTAATTTCAGCATTGAAGAAGTTGAATCTAAATAACAAGGATAATAAAGACAATAAGATCGTTCAGGATGAGAATATCAAAGCTATCAATGAAGCTTTCGGAGACCAAAATATTGAGTATGTGATACTCTATTATCCTTTAGAGATGAAGAAACTTCTGATCCTGGAACTCGAGATTATGACATTAAGTATAACTTTAAGAAAGGTGAAACCCTTAAGAACATATACGGGATCAAATATTTCCTTATATTCCCAGATATGAAACCAAAGCAGTACTGGGATCTTACGATCACTCTTCTGGTTATCATTTCAGGTATCCTTACACCCTTGAGGCTTGCCTTTGTAGAGAACGAGGACTCGTTTTCATGGCTTCTTTTAGACACGGTTATCGATCTATTCTTCCTTGCAGATATTATAATTAACTTCTTCACTGTTTACACAAATCGATCTGAGGATTTTGTAGTTTCGCGAAAACTAATTGCACTCAACTACTTGAGAGGGTGGTTCATCATAGATTTTATTGCTATTATTCCAGTTAACTATTTCTATGACCCAAAACAAGGCGTTAATGACCTCGCCAGACTTGCAAGACTCGTCAGGCTTTATAAATTAGTTAAGCTCTTCAGAATTGTCAAACAAGGTGGAAAGATAAAGAAATATGCAGCTGATGCTCTAAAGCTGAATATGGTAAAGGAAAGGATCCTTACCTTTATACTCTTTCTTACAATCACCTGACATGTATTAAGCTGCATGTGGTATTTCTCAGCCAGTTGGGATGACTTCAGCCCTGACACTTGGGTTGCAAAAACAAACTACCAAGATGAAAGTGACCTTAGGAAATATATTTATTGATTTTATTTTACTACAACTATCATCACAACTGTAGGCTATGGAGATATGCCAATCACCACTTCTTTAGAGAAAATTATAGCTATTGGAATGATCATTGTTGGTGTTATCACATTCTCCTTCTCTCTTGGTTCATTGATGTCTGTCTTAGAGAACGTAGATAATTCTGAGGCTAAATTTAAGGAGAAATACTATGAGCTTAACTCTATTAAGAAGAAATATAATATTCCTCAAGCATTGTATAACAAGTTGTATAAATCACTCAGATTCAAGATCTCTAAGGATGAATCAAATTTGTATAATTTCATTGAAACCTTTCCTGTAAAGATCCGGACTGAGCTGACACTTAAAATTAACAGAGAGATTTTCAGTAGAATTCCATATTTCAAAGGTAAAGATGAACACTTTCTTGCTATGGCTGCTGAACTTTTTAAGAACTCTAGAAGGAATATCTACAAAGATGAGTACCTCTTCTCTGAAGATAACCCTGTATATGAAATATTCTTCCTCCTCACAGGGAAAGCAGGCTATGTAGTCAGCGATGAAGGTGTAGCGATAATATTCTGTGAAATTCATCCAGGAAACCTATTCGGAGAGCTAGATTTCTTCAATTCTGGAGCTCAAGACACAACATTTGAGAAAAGAAAATTCAGTGTAAAGGCCTTAGCTGATTCTGAAGTGATAGGCCTATCCAAAATATCTTTACATGAGTTAGCAAATGCTTATCCTAAATACGTAGACGAGATTTTTGAATATGCAAACTACAGGTTAAAGAAGCTACTAGCAGAGAAAAGAGATGCAATGAAACAACTACACAAAGAGACAAAGAAGAGAAAGAAAGAAGTTGGCAAGAAAAAAGCAGGCATTCTGCGCCCCAAGACACTCCATCTTGAGGAATATCAAGAATATAATGAAGATGACAAAGAAAGACTCGATAGAGGTACCCCCTTTGGTTTTTAGAGTTTAGAGGAAATAAGTATCCAAATGAAAAACCTTCAAGATAAAGATGTCAAACAGAGTTATGGAGATAAAACCAAAAACCTGAAAGAAAAAGCTAAGATTTACTTCTCAGGAGTCAACAAAGTATGGAAAGGGATTAAGAAGCACCAGGAGATGAACAAAAGCAAGACTGATATTCTCTTCGAACATATTAGAGAACTTGCCCAGCAGAAGAGAGAAAAAGACAGAGTTGCTCGAGAAAACTCTAGTATGCTTCTGTTGTCATTCTATAGAGGAAAACAAGTTCAAACTGATGATGGAAAAAAAAAAGAGAGCTAAAGAGTAAATCTTGAACTTGATCATGTAGGATCCTCATGGAACTTAAAGAATATAAAATCTCACCAAAAGATCATATTGAGTTTGAGAACAAAGTAGCAGATCTGTATCAAAAGTACAAGGATTACCAACCTAAGGTAGTTAGGATAGTTATATTTATAGAGATGGAAATCCATTATAGAGACAGATATTTACATTCAAAGAAAGATGGCTCTACATAACCCATCAGATATTATCTTGAAAGATGTCATTGACCAGCAGCATATGTATTATTCTGAATAATCACTTTATTCAATGCTCCAATATTTTTAGGGGTTTTGGGGTTTTGGGGTTTTGGGGTTTTGGGGTTTTGGGG